CTGGATCTAACATTAACTATCTAAGACTCAAAATGAATTCATCCACTCGGTAAGCTGCAAGCCTTATCTTCTGACTCAAATTAATAGTGGAAAAATGCAAACTGTCTATTTTGTCTATATGCTTCTATGATCATTAGGGCCACATAGCATAAGTGACTCCTTTTTGGAGTCCTATCATCATAAATATAACTTCAGACTATAATTATAGCATCACACTATATAAAGTTTACAATGATTACATCTTTCTATGTAATACATGTTATCTGGTGTTTAGTCTTTATATGTGTATATTCTATTCTGTACTTAACACCAGAAAAAAAAAAGATAGAAAATTCCATATATAAAATATAGCAGAAAAGAAGGATATGTGAAAGTGTGAATCTCTACTGTATTCTTTTTTAGAAGTATTTAATAAATTCAGTGTTTCAGAGCTATCCTACTTGTCCATATTTTTTTAAATTTCTTGATTATTTGAATTTTTAAAAATGTTTCAGTGTATCATTTTTCTTAATCTTTTGGGGGCAATATTATTGCTAGTTGGTACTATATAAATTGTTTTCTTATTTCTGTTTACTTCACTTTGCATCAGTTCACATAAATCTTCCCAGGTTTCTATGAAATTATCCCTTTCATCATTTCTTATGGAATAGTAATACTCCATTACATTTATATTACCACAGTTAGTTCAGTCATTCCCTAGTTGATGAGTACCTCCTTTGTTTCCAGTTCTTTGCTTCATCAAAATTGTTGCTATACATATTTTTGTGCATTTGTGTCTTTTTCCTCCTCCTTGGATTTCTTTGTAGTGGTATTGCTGAGTCAAAGGATATGGAGAGTTTAGTGACTTTTTGGTAATAGTTCCAAATTGCTTTCCAGAATGGCCTCACCAGTTCAGTTTCATGAACAGTGTACCTGTCTTCCAGAAGCCCCATCAACAATTGTCATTTTCCCTTCTTTGCCATCTTTGCCAATGTGATAGGTGTGAAGTAGATTCTTAAAGTCCTTTTAATTTGGATTTCACTAATTATTGGTGATTTGGAGCATTTTTAACATGTTTGATGATAGCTTGGATTTTTTCTTTTGAAAATTTTCTGTTCATATTCTGTGACCGTTTATCTACTGGGGAATAACTGTTATTCTTATATATATTTAGTCAGTTCTCTCTACATCTTGAATATTAGACCTGTATCAGAGAAACTTGTTGCAAAGATTTTTTCCTAGTTAGCTGTATTGCTTCTAATTTTAACAGCATTGATTTTGTTTGTGCAAAAACTTTTTCAATTTTATGAAATCAAAATTGTCCATTTTTTCATCTATGATCCTTTCTGTACCCCTTGTATAGTCATGAACTTTTCCCCATCCGTAGTTCTAAAGAATATTTCTCCCTTTGTCCTCTAATTTGTTTATGATGTGATCTTTTATATCTTACACATATATATGTCTTATATCCATTTGGAGTTTACTCTGGTATATGGTGAGAGATATTGGTCTAAATCTCATTTGTGCCAGGCTGCTTTACAGTTTTCCTAGCAGTTTTTATTGAATGGTGAGTCCTTATCCCAGTGGTTAGAATCTTTGAATTTACTGAACACCTTGTTATTTTGTTTGCTTGCTTTTCTATATTGTGTATATAATCTGTTCCACTGATGAACTTTTCTTTCTTTTTTTTAAACTAATGTCATTTAGTAATTAGTGCTTTGTCATATATAACTTCTTAAATAGTATTTTTCTGTGGCTGTAATTAGTCTTAGCTCTTTCTTCGAACCTATAATTTTTTTTCCTATTGTTAACAACAACTTGTTAACAAGTATCAGTGGGGTGCAGTTATAAGTGCTTTTTGGTACTATGGTATAATAAATTTCTCTGGCTTCTGGGAAGTCCAAACGGGATTCCCTGAAAGGGACTTGAAAATGGGATAATTTCTCCCTTTTTAAAAGAGCCAAAAACTTTTCTTAAAATTCTATCCATGCTGGTATTATTCAAGGATGTAGCTGGCTACCAGTGTTATCATTTCTAATCAGACACGTAGAGATACAAGATCACAAAGAAAGTTAACAATGTAAATAAATGTTAGCTGCTTTTGGCTAATGATAAAGAGGATCAGAACTCTGTCTCTCCTGTCTCTTTCTTGATTTTCTTGACTAAGCAGGATGTAGTTTTGGGCCCATAATCTTAGCTATCATCCAGCAGTTCTGAGTGTCATAGGCTACCACAGTCAATGTACCTGACACACTGGTTGAGGTAGGGGAATTGGAATACTCCTTCCTCCTCATTACCACTCCGGGGTTCTCCCTGTGCCACTATCACCCAGTAACTTCTCCTTTGAGGTTTGGTCAATCCATATTTAGCAATCAAGACTGGTAGCTGTTATCTACTGACTTCTAGAACACCCTCCTTTCCTCAACGAATTCAGTGCCTGGCTCACAATCCTTTATTCATCCCCAACACCTCTTTTTATATACCCTAACCTCCTCGTTCCTCAACTTACTAATTTCCAATAACCTACTGTTCTATCCCATCTCAGCTACACACAAAAATGGTCACACCCTTGCATTTGCCATCACCCACAAGTGTTCTACTTCCTTGTTTATGAATTCCGAAATTCCCTTAACTGATCACAATCTGTTGTCATTTCACCTCTGTCTTGCAACCCCCAATCCTGTTTTTGTCCTCACCATGACCTCTAGTCCCTCTGCCCTTCAGTCTTGCTCTGCCTACACTTCTCTACCTTTCCCATCTTGACCCCTTGGTGAACCAATACAACTCTACACATTCTTCTCTCAAGTCCCTTGTTCTCTTAGCATGAATCGTTTGCCAAGGCTTAGTTTTGGATTACTGCCATCATCTGTCAAACAAAGCTGGAGAAGGTCATGAAATTGTGTCAGCTAGATCCCCTACAAATTTATGTTACATAATCTCAACTGGGCCCTCAATGCATCAAGGTAATCCTTTTATACCTCCCTAATTCAACATCTCACTTACCACAATAGCTTTTTCAAACCTTTTCATCCCTCTTCAAACCTCTTCTGACTTCCCTTCACTACCTCCCAACCTCTTGCAAGCTGAAAGCCTTGCCTCATGTTTTGCTGAAAAAATTGAGGTTGTAAGCTGAGATCTCATTCTATATGTATCCCAAATTCTAACTAAATTGGACTATTCTTTGTCCCTAAGTATTGTTCATGATGGGCAGGATTCTCTGCTGAGAATGCCATTTCCCCTCTGCAATACCTATTGAATTCCTACCTCTTTCAAAGCCTATTTCAACCTTTATGAAGTCTTGTCTTGTCTCCATCTTCTACACAGAGTTGTCCCACCCTTTCTCTTTTTCTTTTTTAGAATTCTCTACACTTCTTTTGTGACACTTTGTTCTTGAATTTTTCTACCTTAAATTGAAATTATTTTTGTACTTGCTTGTTTCTTTCACTAGATTTTAAGCCTTTTAAGGGTTGGTAAGGAATGTATCTCCTTCAACTTTGTACCTTCCTTAACGTGTAATACTATGCTTTTCACATAATAGACACTCAATAAATGTTTATTGAATTTGAGTGATGCTTCCTATCCTGCTTTAGTGGATAGGAAGTGTATTCATGGGACGAAGGCCTGAATACATTTTCGAATTTGCTTTGAATTGGCAAAAAGTGTTTTTTTGTTTTTTCACTCCAGGTTTACTCCCTCCAAATAGTGTATTTCCCTTTGTCATTGTAGAAATAGCAATGGCCTGTTTTGGTATTAGAAAATCCTTTGGAGTCATCCTTGATTTTTCAGACTAAAGGGAGTCAGAAGTGTGGTATATCTAAAATGGTATATAATCAAAATAATCAGGTATATTTGGAGTTTGAAATGTATATTTGAATTTAGTTATATCTGATGTTTTGGGTATTCACTTCAAACAAAATATTAAAGCCATGATTCATTCAGGAGGGACCAGGAAACTAGATGGTTTCTCCATCCTGCCCCTGCTTCATTGCTCCCTAATTAAGCTAGGGAGGTAGTGGAGGAAGCCCAGGCCATCCAGTGGTGCTGGAGGGTGCATGTAAAGCCATTCATAGAAGAGTGTCCACAAAGCACACGATGTTGCAAAACTTACAGCTTGATTTAAACTTAAATCAAGATTTACTCTGGAGCAATTCTCACTTTTTTGATAATCCAGAGAGTTGAATTCTTGTTGGACATTTTCCCTTCTAGAACTCTGCAGAATCTTGAGCTGGAATATAAGAAGGAGAAGCCATCGCAGAGAACTATTCTGCCTCAAAGAAGGTGTTATTAGAATTTGGAAATTCTTATTGAAATTCACATCATTAAAACCCTCTTCCTTTCCTCCTACTTTCATTCTTCAATTTCCTGAATTTCCACTAGAGATCAGGCTAAGGCCACTGAAAATTGCTATCTGCTCTAGTAAATACTCTTAAAGAATTATTGAACATTGCTTTGCTTTAAAATACACACACACACACACACACACACACACACACACCCCTTCACAATTGAGTGGCAGCTTGTTTGGAAAAACAATTCGTTAGACGATTACAGAGGAAGAAGATTTATAAATGTAAATGTGTTATTCCAGAAGAGACTTTAAAGGTTTGGCAGGAAGAAGTTATTTTATTTATATGTCAGGCTCGGGTCTAGAATTGTGATTTCATTGGCAGAGGGAACTCTAGACTACTCCCTGCACTTCGGCAGGCTGGCGCCTTCTCTGTAGTATAGAGCGTTCGAGAAGTTATATGACTTGCTCTGTGTCACACAGCCAGATGGGGCGGAGGTCTTCCTACTCCCAAGATTGGCTCTCTGTCAGCCATTATGTGCTGCCTCTAATTTCACTCATACCAGGTTTAATTTTCCTCTGGAATACTTAAGACAGAGTTTTTTTGTTTGTTTGTTTTAAATCAGGAAGTACATGCCACATTCATTATGAGGAAATTTCATTACTTCAGAATGTAAGACTTAAGTGTGTGTGTTTAATGAGTCATTTTACTTCTTTTATTCCTTTGTTTTCCTAGCTGGTTCATGGGACGAAGGCCTGAATACACAGACCCCAAGCTAGTAGCTCAGGGAGAAGGAAGAGAAGGTAAAGTTTAGTCTCTGTAACAAGCAAAATTAGCAAGTTAATTTATACTAACCTCAGATTTCATTCCATAAGTACACAGTAAGTGTTTAATGAATGAATTTGAGTATATAAATACAATATATGCTAATGGGTAGCTAAAAGATGCTATAGAAATCTCATTAATTATGGGCATAGCAATGATTTGTTACCTGAAGACCAGTTTGGCTAAGTGAAGAGAGCCTTTTCACCAAAAAATTGAAACTTTGATCACAACAACTCACAAAACATAGAAGGATTATGATCTATGTTAGTGGATTTAGTACCTACCCAGATGAAATTGCAGATCACTCAAATAAAGCATCAAATAAAGCAGAATAACAAGTATGCCAGGTTACCTGTCTCCAAAGAGATCGGAATGAAAAATCATCCAAGAGAATGAACATAGCTTGGACAAAAGATGTTTTTGGCATCAGACACAGACTGAGCTTTGAGAAGGCAGTGAATGAGTAAGTCTAATATTTAAGATAGTGAAAAAATCCCCTAACATGTCCTTGTGCCTTTGATGTCATAAGAGTCTGACAGAAGGGTTATATTTTGTGAGCTGTTCTCACCTCTCTTGGCTTATAGCTTCTACCCAGGAAACCTGGGGAGAAATGTATGCAAGTTCTTCTTAGTCCAGGAAGACAAATTCTGCACTTGCAAGCATATAGTTTGTGTTATTACAGAGAAGTTTTTTTTAGAGAAGGAAAACAAAGCCAAGATCCTTGAATTAGGCCTAGACATGTATGTAGATTAGAATCATAGTCCCAAATATGAGGGTAGATTTAGGGCTTAGAAGGGACCTTAAACATCATGTAGTCCAGTTCCATTTTGTTAATGAGGAAACTGAGCTTAAGGATGAAGATAGTAAGGAGTAAAGCTAGGATTTGAACCTAGATCATCTAATTAAAAATTCTCATGGGGATGATGGTATAGGGAGTATAGCTGTTCTTTCCTCTTCACCTTCCTGCCTTTCTTTGTAGCTTTCTGAAGCTCTTTTTGCAGTGTCTCAGACAAGACAAAAACAAATCTCTTAAGTTTTTTTCAGTCTTTAGATGCCATGTGACTGTGTAAAATTAAAGCAATACCCTCTTCCTTTTGTCCTACCTATCCCCTCTCATCAGCATTTTTCCCCATTGTCTATCACTTAGAACCTACCTGATACCATTCCTGCTTTCAGGTGGATACCCATTTATTTTTTCCAATACGAAATGATAAGGAAAATGAAAAACTGTCTCAGCAACTTTTTAAGATGAATAATCATTGATTCAGTCAGAATAACACTTCCTTTTTCACTGTGCTATATGTTTTGAAGTTTATTGGAAGAGGATACTTTATTATTATAAACAGCAAACAAGTTATTTGTAGGTGGCAGTTCATTCATTATAATAGGCTAAATGCCCACTCTGGATATAGCATTGTTTTTCTAAGTATATATGAACAGCCTAAATTTCTTTAGAAACCATTTTTACTCATTATGGTTAGGCAGTAGAATGTTCTATCTACAGAACAAAGTAATTATTTTAAATGAAATTATGTTGGAGTTATACCTGACATTGCAGAGAGTGTTTGGGGGCTTTGGTTTAAGTCTTTAGGGAAAGTGTATAAATTTTCTGCTGAACAACAGGAATCAATTTAACATCTTTCAAAATAATTTTTAGCCCCAAAACAAAGAAAATATACAACAAACCTGGACATTAAAATTTGCTGTTATGCAAGTTATAAATTGGGGAATAAATTGACCATACGAAGTTAACTTTATATAATTTTAAAACTGCCCTAAAACTTTACTCTTCCTTTAAGGGTCTCTATGTTTCAAGTCTCATCTGCCTCTAGAGGCAACTAGGTGACAATGAATAGAGCACTGGGCCTGGAATTAGCAAGACCTGAGTTCAAATATGACCTCAGACATTTGCTAGCCATATGACCCTGTCAAATCTGTTTACCTTATTCTTCGCAGCTCTAAAATGGGGATAATAATAGGACCTACCTCCCAAGGTTATTGTGAGGATCAAATGAGATGATATTTTTAAAGTGCTAAGCACAGTGCCTGGCACACAATAGATATTTAATAAATGCTTGTTTCCTTCTCCTCTTCTTTCTTCTGCTTTGGGCTCTGCCATAAACCAGAAAATACTTATCATTAGCAGCTGATAAAAAGCTACCTCCTTTTGCAAAGACTGAAGGAAAGTTCCAGAAGGGTTACTTAGAATATCAAAATAACTTTTAAAAATGTTTTTCAGACCAGTGGACACTTGTCTTCCTATTTTACAAATAGAGAGGATGTAGGCAGGGAAGGGTTAAGAGGCTTGTCTGTGTGCTGCATAGCCTCTGCAATATAAATAATTGAATTGGCTAAGATTTAAAAAATAAAAACAATTCAATCACATTACCAGGAATCATTAAACCAATTGGAATTAAGGGAAAAGAGAGGAAAGTTAGACTTATCATGTGAATTATTTCCTTTAGGGCAGATCCAATCAGCAAATATTCCTGATGAGGCAGAACTCAGAGGAAGAATACCATACCTCTCCCCCTTCTCCCTCCCTAGAAATGCTTTTCCAGCCCATTCTTCCTCTGAATTCCTCCCTGAAAGTTCTGTACTTTAATAAAACTCATACTCAGCAGGCTTGGGGAGAGACCTGGAAACTAATGGTCTTCTAGGCAGAGGCATCCACAATTTTGTAATCATCATATTCCCCTGTCCCTTTTAAAAAATGCTTAGGGACAGTAAATGGAAACAATAAAAATATGTAATTCTTTTATGAGAAAGTACACTAAGTACAATATTTAGTAGGGAGCCAATACAAGATAGTCTGACATTTTGAGAGGCTGCCATTAGTGCTGGGAAGGAAGGAGCTTTATTATTTTTTCCCCTTTTCTCCCCATCCTCTATTGAAAATTAACACTGTTAGTGAGATGCTTTGGGGCCCACTATTTGTTGGATGGATGTTTTAAAAACCTTTTTGTGTGGTGAGATGCTTTGCTGTTGGTTGAATAAATTTTACATTCCATAAGGTTTCTGGAAAACCAAAAATGCATAGTAGGAGGCATTATGAGCCCAATAGCATTTTTTAGCAGAGTAGTAAGGCCAAATCTAAGGAGCAGGCAGGACTAGACAGGCCATGGGCTGGGTAACTGTTCCGCACTCTGCCTCCTCCTAAGACGCTGGCCATTCCACAGATCTTGAAGAGAGGTCGAGACTGGAGAGGCCTGTGGTCTTTGTGTTACCAAGTCAGGGTCAGGGCATAGATCCCAGAGCAAAGATGGCAACTGTACCTGGTCCAAATGAAAAGATACTGTGGGAAGGAATTTGCAGTATTAGTCAAGAAAATAGCTTATCTGTGGACTTCTGGTTATCTCTAATAAATGAAGAAAAGAAAGAATTTAATTCCAGTTCTCATCCCAAACAAAGCTTCAAGGGACATGCTCACGTTTTAAGATGGTCTTCAAGGAACCATTACTTATGTCATTCCTTTAGTTTGTTCAGTGATTAGTAATTTTTTTAGTGAATGTCTGCTAAGCCAAGCTCTGGATAAGACAAAATTCCTGTCCTCAAATAAGCTGATAACCTAAATGTCACTCTTTTTGAAGCCAGAAAATAATAGAAAATTTTCTATCTGGTTCATTACATTCTTGATAAGAATTGTAGGGTCTGAATCTTGTTTGTGAACCAGAATTTTTCATTGAATCATATTTTCTTCTTGAGGTCAAATGGGAGTTATTGGCATTGCTGTTTCCATGACGATGCATCTCTCAGGTCTGATTTCTGGCTTCTTGAGCTATGAAAGTGCTGTGTTCAGCTCATGGCTTGAAGAGTTATGTAAACATGGATCCAGCTGGCTGACCCAAAAATGTGAAAATAGTCTTCAGGCAGCATTTGTGGCTTAAGCTGGTCTTCTGGAGACTGCAGGATTTGAGATTCCACTCTGGGTGATGTTCTGAAAGTTTCCATTTTTCTGTAGGCTAATACTGTGGTTTCTTCCCACTTATAGTTACAAGGGTTCGCTCCCAGGGCTTTGTTACCCTTTTGTTGAATGTGGTGACGAAGGACATGAAGAAACTAGGCTATGATACCAACACTTTGGACATGCAGACCTCTTCAGTGATCGACCTGTCAGAAGGCATCCTGAAGTAATTATAAAATATTACCAATATCCTTTAAGTTAAATAGCATTTACCTTTTAATATGTTTATAGCTGGCCCCATTTAAAGCCAAACTGCTGATATATACTAAATTTATTGTTATGTTTATTTACTTAAGTATCATTATATCCATATCACCTTGATAGCACCTGTAGCCAAATATTTTTATATAATAAATGATTATATTATTGGAGAAGTAAGTCTTTTCATGGTTGTTCTTCTAAATTCAGCATATTCACTGCCTTAAAATTTTGGTGCCAACTTAAACAGATTTTCTTTATTTCAACAGTGGCAGTTAGGACTATACACCGGACTGTCATTTTACATATTTTCAGACCGTTTTGTGCAAAGTTAGTTTAATTTTTTGTAGAAAATAGACCAAGTACTTGACTAGGAATCAAGAGACTTGGATAGTAGACCCATTTATGACACTAACTGTGTGATCTCAGGCAATTACTAAGGTCCCTTTCATTCATTAAGTTGCTTCTACAGGAAAAACACTGTCCTGGACACTGAGGACATACCGAGATTAAAAAAGGAATAATCCCTTTCTCCAGGAAGTATGCTCTAGAAGGGAAATATGATACATTTACAAATAACTGTCATATAATACAAAGTAAATGACAGGTATATAAGAGAAAGTCCACAAAAGTCCTCCTGTGATACTTTCTTGTAGTGTGGAGGTAATCCTCGGTTTTGAGAGGCTTGCCAGTAGAGCACAAGCTGTAATGGAGTTTGGCATGCAAGAAAAATATTGAGTATAATCTCAGCAACAGGGTGTGTTTACTTTCTGAGGATCAGCCTAAGTACTAAGTGGCTCCTTACTAGTTGGTTGGCCACTGTGTGTTGAATTCTATGGCTGTGACAGGAAACAAATACTTAGTGGCTCCTGTCCACTTCTGTAGCAATTGTGTCAGAGTACCTAAAAAAGCAGGCAGAAGGTGCTAAAAATCACACTGTTAGTCCATGACTATAGTAATCTACTATTTGATAAATCCAAAGACCCCAGCTTCTGAGATAAGAACTCACTATTTGACAAAAAATGCTGGGAAAACTGGAAAAGAATATGGCAGAAACTAGGCATAGACTACAATCTCACACCATATACCAAAATAAAGTCAAAATGGGTTCATGATTTAGATATAAAGGCTGATACTATAAGCAAACTGGGAGAGGAAGGAATAGTTTACCTGTCAGATTATGGAGAACAGAAGAATTCATGACCAAACAGGAGATAGAGAGCATTACAAAAAGCAAAATGGATAATTTTGATGACATTAAATTGAAAAGTTTTTGCACCAACTCAATGCGAACAAGATTAGGAGGGAAGTAGAAAACTGGGAAAGAATTTTTACAACCAGTCTCTCTGATAAGGGCCTCACTTCTAAAATATATAGAGAATTATGTCAAATTTATAAGAACACAAGCCATTCCCCAATTGATAAATGGTCAAAGGATATGAACAGGCAATTCTCAGATGAAGAAATTAAAGCCATCTATAGTCATATGAAAAAATGCTCTAAATCACTATTGATTAGAGAAATGCAAATCAAAACAACTCTGAGGTACCACATCACAGCTCTTAGAATGGCCAACATGACAAAATAGGAAAATGATAAATGTTGGAGAAGACGTGGGAAAATTGGAATACTAATACATTGTTGGTGGAGTTGTGAAATGATCCAGCCATTTTGGAGAGCCATTTGGAACTATGCCCAAAAAGCTATAAAAATTGACCCAGCAATATCACTTCTAGGTCTGTATCCCAAAGAGATCATACAAATGGGAAAAGGACCCACATGTACAAAAATATTTATAGCAGCTCTTTTTGTGGTGGCAAAGAATTGGAAGTTGAGGGGATGCCTATCAGTTGGGGAATGGCAGAACAAGTTGTGGTATATGAATGTAATGGAATACTGTTGTGCTATAAGAAATGATAACCTGGAAAGAAAAACTTGGAAAGACTTGAATGAACTGAGGCTGAGTGAAGTCAGCAGAACCAGGAGAACGTTGTACACAATAACAGCCATATTGTGCAATGACTAACTTTGATAGACTTATAAGCTCTTCTCAGCAATGCAAGGATCTAAGACATCTCCAAAAGTCTCATGATGGAAAAAGCTATCCATATCCAGAGAAAGAACGATGGAGTTTGAATGCAGATTGAAGCATACTATTTGCTTTTTTTTTTCCTTCTGTTTTATTTTGTTACCCCTTTCTTGTGGTTCTTTCTATTGGTTCTCACTCTTCCTTAAAACATGACTAATGTGAAAATATGTTTAATAGGAATGTATATGTATAGCCTATATGAGATTGCTCACCGTCTTGGGGGGAGGTAAGTGGGGAGAGAGGGAGAAAAAATTAAAAACTCAAAAGCTTATGGAAATGATTGTTGATAAATCAAAATAAATTAACTTTAAAAAAGAAAAAAGAAAAGTCACATTGTTTTAAGATTGTTTATAAATTAACTATTGGTATTCTAAATGTAAGATCCTTGTAAGATCTTTGAGTCAGTATACTGTTGGGACAGCAAAAAATATGTTATAAAACTTCTCTTAAAAATCAGGAAACTAAAAAGGGGAAGGGTTCATAGGCTATACTGAAGTCTCACTCTTGCATATTCATAATTTTTTAAAAAATAAGATGGTTGGGAGGTGCCAGACCTGGTGAATAACATCACAATAAAATGAAATTGACTAAATCTTGACATTTGGTTGGAAATGATTGGTTATCGATTGATTTGACAGTTATTTCTGAATTGTCAAACCATCAGCGAATAAGACCAGAGTTTAAAATCAAGCCCCAAACTACTGTCCACACAGGAAAAACCAAGTGGATGAAGAGTGACTATTATCCAGCTTATGATATATAGTTGGACGGTTAGTTCATGGCGCTAGTCTACCAGTACATTTACTTTGGGCAGACATTGTAAATGGACAGTGAATTAGATCCATAACTTAATAGGAGGATGAATGTTCACATTTAGGAAGCTGCATAATGCTTTCAGTGATCCAAGCATTCTCCCTGAAGTAAAAATACTTCAAAATATAGTGAGTATTCTTCTGGTGATGCTATAATGTTGTAATTCACGTGATGCCAAAATCTTTGAAGAATCAGAATTGCAAAATTGACCCAAAGAGCAATGGAGAAGCATGTGGTGATATAGTACAGTTATCAATTTTAAATGATATTCAAAAGGATGCACATAAGGTAAAGATGTATGACCAAAAAATGGTTGACCCTTGTAGTGAAAGTGACCAATACTGGATGTCTGCCTCAGTGGCTGTACTGGTACTTTCAGAGTAGGGATGTTTAGGGAGGATTAACACTTCTGGTGTGAGGGCTTGCCGAGCCCTTTTCAGGCCTGCTCATCCACCTTTGGTATCCACCTGTTGCCCAGCTCTCACCTGTTGCTCAAAAAAACTAGTATGCGCAGGGGCCACACCCTGGTAAAATTGCCTTTGCAGATGGGCTAAACCAAGTTGAGGGTAACCAACAAGCCTCAGACTCCTCAGTGAGTTAGAGGGGTGTCTGCCCCAAGCATGTGAAGACTTCCCCCTGAGGAATGGGTGGATAAGGACAGTTTGTTTTGGTGGCCATGAAGGTAGCTCAAGTAGGCTCTAGTAGAGCCTTTAGAGCAGGCCTGCACAACCTGTAGCCTGAGGGCTGTAAGTGGCCCAAGGGCCACAAGGTGTGCAGGCCTGCTTTAGAGCTTGGTCAGACGTTGAAGATGCCATCCCAGGTCATCACCAGTCGTCCTGACTGTTGTCTTGCCACTGAACTGTGGTGAGTCTGGAAGAGAGAGTGAGGCTGACAACTTTGTGCAACTCTGCCTTACTTAAATCCAGTTGAGGCATAAGTCAAGACATCACCCTATGATGTCACTGGACTTCTTTGAAAATTAAGGACGAATCACAGTAACAATATTGGTACTTTGATAATTTTGTGAGTTGCAGAGGGAGGTCCCTAGCACAGTGGATAGAGCACTCCTGGAGGATTTTCAAGAGGATGTGGACAAGAATGGCAGAGGATAAGAAGGCCTGGGTAGATTGTGATGAAATGATCCCAGTAGTGAGGAGACAAAGGTCCAGTGGGCTGTGCTGTACTAGGGAAGGGCTGAGGATCATGGAATTTAAGAGTTAGAAAGCATCTTACAGATGTTCATCTCCAACTCCCTCATTTTACAGATGTGGAAATTGAGTCTCATAAAGATAAGTTGCTCAAGGTTATTGTAGGTGACCCAGTGCTTCTCTGCAGATATAAACTGTGTGTGAGTGGGTGGGACGCCAGCAACCAGGTCAGAGATGAACTCCTGTAAGAGGGGACATAGGAGCATAGATCTGGAGCAAACTGGAACTGTGGACAGTTGGTGTTTGCCCTTGTCTGATGCTTTTACCCCAAGGTCTGATCATTAAGAGCAACCTCTGACTGCTTCTGGCTTCAACTAGCACATCATTGAGTAGGGTGAGTAGACTTAGCAGCCAGACTCAGGAAGGAGCAGTGCCACCATTCCTGGTCCTGAAAGTCTTTCTCACCAGTCCTTTTTTTTTTTCGGTCACCTTTCTGCCACACGTATGTCTTGACACTTCTGTAACCATCTCTTCTCTTGTTCTCTCCATAGTGTGGAAGAGGGGAAGCTTTGGATTGAGAATCATTATAAAATGTATATAAACATTTTTTCAAACTTTAGAGCAATTTCAACTAACTCCCACAGAGGCAGTAGTGGCTTTATGCATTTTCACTCTAACAAGTACCTTTTTCTGAAGACATAAAGTTTTAATCTCAAGGAAATTTCAAGCATCGAAGAGATAGAGAATTCTGGGATGTTTTTGCACAGGTTGGGGCTTTCTGAAGACCTCTTAGATTGTTCCAGCAGAACTGTTGCCCAGGCATTGTACCTCAGAAGAGAGAATGAAGGTCGGGGAGAGAGAGTCCTGCATACTCTAATACACAGTCACAAGGAGCTGTTTCCAGGGGGACAGGGTCAGCACCTTTCACTTTCTAGAGTCCTCGGTTTTCATCTCCTCCCATTTGGGATTGGGACAAGAAGCCCAAAATTTCTTACTCCCAAAGAGGGGGTTTTGAATTTTTCAGACATTCTGATAGGCAGAAGGTTATGTATTTAGGGTCCAGAAGGACCTAGGCTTAAACAAGACAGACGTGGCCACAGTGTCTTTTGTTATACATGGAGAAATA